ACAGCTCTGACTCTGTCAGATGCTGCACCTATCCATGCCTGGGTCTTTAACTGTACAGGCCCTGGAACTATGAGCAACTAATTTCTGTTTTTTTCCAATACCCAATTTGTGTATTTTGTTATGGGACTAGGACAGACGTACCTCAGTATGTCTGTAAGAATCACTTCTTTATTCTTTCCTTCTTGGTGTTGATTTTATCCTTCTGCTGATAGCAAGGAGACTGCACAATTCCAGATGTTAAATAATAGAAGTTTTCTTAGGACTTGATTTTTGGACCAAAGAGCTCTGTCCCCCTCCCCCCACCTCCCCCTGCACAGCTTCTCAGCAGATTCTTTGTCTTTCTGGCCAGTGCCAGGTCACATGTGGCTCCTTACCATGTTTTGATCCCCAGTACTGAAATGAGGGTGGTTGAGAGTAAGAGATGTGGGTACCCAAATAAGACAAGGTTTATTAAGAAGAGCATCCCCAAAATGTGATGTTAGAATTTGAGATCTTCAAATTGCTACATAAAAACATAAAGGTTGTCCATATTAATGGGRTGCTGCACAATGTTTCAATACACATATCCATTGTGTAATSTTTAAATCAGAATAAACATATCTATCTCTGCTGGTGGAAAATGCAAAACTCAGCAAGGTCCAGGAAGTGGACCTGGTGGGGCACAGGTGACAGAAGTGATGTGCAGATAAAGAACTGGAATTAGAAATATCTGYAGGTTACAAGCCTCAGCTTCTGGATGGGTTGTCCATGTGGATATTGAATGCACCCAGAATTCCGGCAAGAGATGGAGGTGTAGCAAGAATTGGACCATGGAGAAATTGTATAGGTGACAGTGACAACAGTTAAGGAGGGTGAGGAGCCCTTTTTCTTCTCCCCAAACCGGGTTGATTATGAGCGCCTTCTTTGTGTGCAGGTCTTATCCCACTGCCCAGGTGCAGGTGGGAATTCACTGCTCGCTTGTCCTGGGGCTCCAATCTCCACTGTTCTCCCTGCTTCCTGGATTCCCTTTACTTCTGTGTTTTTCTTCTTGGCTGCACACTTGCATCCCCTGGGGAGATTCTACTTTCTTGATGTCCAGGTCACACTGTCCAGGTACYGTCAAAAAATAATCCAGAGTGGGAGGTTCAGGCCTAGCAGCTGCTCTGATAATTATTCACTCCTGTGCAGCCTGGTTTACCAACTGCTCTGCCTACCCCATCCCTGCCTTCACATCTTAAGAGGTAGCTGCAGCAGGTAGCTCCCTTTCATTGAAGAAACCTCTGTTGAGCCTTTCTCCCTCCATATACTAGGAATACAAAGGTGAGAAGCACATGCATGCCCACCCACCAAGACACTCAGCTAGGGGACAATAGGTGCTGCAGCAGAGGTCTTCAGGGACTCCGAGCATCCAGGAGTTGATCTTTACCCTGCACTGGGGGGAAGGAAGTCAAGGCCATTAGACCCCACAGCCAGCCAAGCCCACTTCCTGTATCCAGCCTGGGTTTGGAGCTGTTTTTCCTCAGTCACCACCAACTCTAAAATCTGTCAAAGCTCCATGAAGAGGGAGCAAGCCCTTTGTGTGATGGCTCCTGTACCCCTATCTAGCCTCAGTTCTTGCCACATATCCTGCAGTGGACTGTACAGTCCAGCCTTCGTGACTTAAAGTTCTCTGAAAGTGTCTCACCCCTCACACCCTTGGGCCTTTGCACATTCTGCTCTCTTGCCCTAGAAGATGCTTCCAGGACAATTTGGAGGAGAGCACCTGGGTGGAGGAAATAGTATGATGAACAGATACCTGGGACAGGGCAATGGCTGTGCATGGAAAACCCTGTCACCCAAGGATGGACAGTCACTGTATCTTGGACTGCAATGCCCTTTAGCATCAGTTTCTCCCAGAGAGCTTGTTAAACCACAAACTCCTGGTCCCAAAATGCTGTGCTGCCAGGGGCCTGAGATGGGGCTCAAGAATTGACCTATCAGACTTCCAGGTAGACCACTTGTGGAACAGTGTGAAGGCAGTAARAGATGTGGCTAGAAAGGGGGGACTTTGGCAGAGAACAAAGATATCATCAGTATAGCACAGCAGGAATGTGACTTTTGCTTCTTTCCTTACTGTGCACTTACTATGTTTCGGACTCCAGAAATACCAAAAAGAAAATGACATAATTTCCAATCTCAAAGTTTTTCACACCAGTGAAAGGAAGAAAGTAAGTCAAAGCATAGCTTTCTGCCTTTAGTTAAAATGGTGAATATTTATTATGGTTGGTTAGTATCCTCTTCAGATTTGAGCAATCAAGGAGGCAGAACGACATTTGGGTTCAGCTCTTCTTGCTTTCTAACTTTAGATCTTATGTCCCATGAGTATGTTCTTTAGTTCCCTGGCCAGTAAAATTAGGGTGGTGACATATTATGCATCCAAAGGGTTGTTTTGCATATTGAACAGTTTCTGGTCCATAGCAAGGGCACAACCAACAATTGAAGTTATAATTATGATCATGCAAAGAACTCAGCCTCCAGGTTTGGGGGTATCTTTCTAGGAAATAATTCCTGACAGATGGGATTCATTGATGAGGATGGTTGCAGTATCTTCTGTTCAGAATACTTAGGAAATAAAAGGCTAAGGAATAGTTAGGTTTCTGGCTAGTATGAGCTAGTGGCAGTAGGCCTGGATGATCTAAAATATCAGTTAACAGGGATATCCATGCACCACTCATTTAATCCTCACAACAGACTAGTGTGAGTGGTTAATTACTCTCCTGATTTTACAGGTAAGGAAACAAGTTAGATGAGTCTATTCCCACTCCTGGGGCAAAATACATAGTAAGACCAAGCTTTGGAGTCAGTCAGATGTGGCCATGAGTTCCGTGGCAGCCAATTACTGGTGTGTCCTGGAACACATGTGACATCTCCACATCTTCACAAGTGCAGTACCTGAGCAGTGCACAGCATGCAGAACACATACAGCAAGGGACCTRCTCATAGCTGCTTGTCACAATATGCAACAGAATCAGGGCCACTCCGAATGGATTGGGCTGGCAATGAAAAAAAACACACAAACACAGAAAGTACCTTTTTTGGGTTCAGGATGGCTCTTCACTCTCGAGAATTAAGCTCCCATGCTGGAGGGCAAGGATAGCAAGGGACGCAAGAGGCAAGAGGCAGGCAAGAGAGCGAGTACACCTGAAAATACCCTATTTATTGGGGAGAAGCCATTCAGACTATATTCCATCCATATAAGGAAAGAGATTGGATTTCAGAAGATAGAATCTTGCTTGGTGATGACTTGTGGTCAGCAGTTTGATGACATCTTGAAGAGTCACACCCATCTCAGGGGTTGTGGGGGATCATAGGCAGTGAGAGAGAAAGGGCACATATACCTCGAACAGCCCAATCACTCAGAAATGTCAGCCTAGTACCATCATATACTCAAATGTGCATAGCTCACACACACAGCCCATGGCTGGACAGCGACAGTTGCCAATCACTGTGGCATGGTGTGAAGGGTGAATCCTGCAAATCTGAGTTCTTCCCTAGTTTATCCCCAAGTTTACAATCGCGGAAGAGTTGTGAAACCTTCTTGAACCCATTTGCTCATTTGTAAAATGGGTAGAATAATACCAACTGAAGGGAACTGCAGTATAAAGCTACAGATGTTAAGGTCACAGTGGATGGTGGAGCCAGGGTCCTAACCTGGGTCTTTATGCTGTCCACTGTCTGCTTTTTCCACTTCCCTGACTCACACAAAAATGTTCCTCCTGGCCACAACCTGCCCCTGCTCCAGGGGTTTAGAGTCAGTAATGACCTTGACAATAGGCCTGCCCTACACATCTACCCTGGAGAGGGTTTCCCTCTTCTTCAAACCAGCATCTTACAACTCTGAACTTGGACTTCTGTTGACAGTTTTCCCTTGGGGAAAAAGGGAAACAGACTCTCCTTTTCCTTAGAAGATTTACCCCAGAACACTTGTAATTGTAAATTTACATCTTATTGAGATGTAGGTACATGTTTTTTAAGAGCTAAAAAGGCCTGTTTGCGTATTTACAACCTGGAACACTTTTTTTTTTTCCTGGAGGGATTTGGGAATCATCTTCTAGATATATTATCTTTGAGGAGGAAGTATCCCTATCATCCAAGGAGGGCTGGGGCCCAATTTTCAGGGAGCACCAGGCTTCAAGTTGCAAACCTATCTCCTGTCTTAAATATATACATTTATTTCTGTTTTGGATGAAGGAAATTGGTAAACACAAGTGCCACATTAATTACCAGGGGACTTTAGGATGAACACTGTGACAGATGCTGTTAAGTCCTCTTCCTCCAGGACCATTCATGCAAATATACATGAGTTTGTTGAGGCAGGCCCCCTAATGGCTGTAGTTATGCTCCCCAGCTGCCTGCAGGCTGTGTTGTTTTTAGTGTGTAGCCAAGGCTGAGAACCAGCTATGTTATGGTTAATCAAGGCCAGAAACACTGTGACTCAGCATTGAGTCAAGGTCATAAACATTAACTTATGAAAATGTGGCTGGTGGGGAGATGGGGGTTTGGCTAAAAAGACTATGGCCAGCTCCAAAGAAAGGATGACCAGTATTCCCACAGAGCCCCGCATCTTCTTTCAATTGTCCAGTCCTGGGACCCTGGSTTCAGAACCTTCCCAGCCGTTTGAAAAAGGATGGGCATTCTGTCTTTGCAGTCTCCTCCCGGGTTGCCTGTAATGCGCATTGCCTTTGGATTTCAAGCTTACCCAATACCCAGCTCTCYTGGAGAGTATCTTGCTGGGTTGGCAGGTTTTGTTTTCCGCTGTAATTCCCCCCCACTCCCACCCCGCCATAGAAACAAGGGCTTTTGGATAGGGCTTTGGGAGAATTCGGACAACCTGCAGGAGCCTGGTCCTGGCATTTGCAGAGTGCGAGTACCGCCGGCAGCCTCGCGCATCCCTATTTTTAGCAGCAGGGACCTCGCGGTCACGTGACTGGAGCGTTTCCTAGCACCGCCGCGTTCCCGCCCCCGCCGCGCTGGGCGTGCAGCATCACTGAGTGCGGAGTAGCGGGGCCAGCGGCTATGAAGGTCTGGAGCTCCGAGCACGTGTTCGGGTGAGGCGGGGCTGCGGACGAGGAGGGTCTGCAGCGACCCCGGCTCCCGCCCTGGGCATCCGCTAAGGACAGGCGCCCTCCTCTCCCCGGCGTAGCTGGGCGGAGTCCGGCGGAGCCTGGCCTGCGGCAGCTGGGCCGGSCGCTGCGCGGGGCTGCGGGCAGGGGCCGCAATCCTGGGGCGAGCGCCCGGCCACTGGGCGCAGGCCTCACCCGGTGCTTGCAGGCTTGATGGCAGCTCTGTGGCTCCCCGTGCGGGAAGGCGGACGCAGCGCCCTAGCTCTCCTGTGCGGCGGGGGCGAGGTCCCAGGCAGTGATTRTGCAGAGCCAGCTCGGGCTTTGCCGAGATTGTGCAGAGCAGGCATCTTCAACTTGCAGCACCTCTCAGGAGGGGCCCAGGGGCCTCGAGCCCCTGAGGAAGCTGAGCCGGAGGAAGGCACCTGGGGACCGCAGCTCTGAGCTTACTTGTAGGCAGGGAAGCCTCTGGCAGTCTAGAAGCTACTGGAAAGTGCCCTCCTGACCTGAGTGGTGGCCTTCTCCAAGTCACTGATCCGAAGGCATTTTGTAATGTCTTAAAGGAACAAGATTTTTAAATTCCCCGACCCCACTTAGAGAAGACTTTTGTTTTTGTGTGAGAGATTATTGCTTGAAATTGAATTGTCATTTTGTCCTTTGTACATGTAAAGTCATACTAAATATTTACCAAGTACCTTGAAAACCTCTGAAACTTTTTTTTTAAATTAAATCTTTAGATTTGATAGGATATATTATTTTGCACAGCTTGCTGCATTTCTCCGGCTGTTCTCCCAGGGGTGTGGGTGAGTCATTCTCCTCTGGATGCAGAGGGAGAGGTTGAATTCGGTACATAATGGGGTGATGGGGATCTGTTGCCTTGTGGGCCTGTTAAGAAGGACCACCCTAGTGGGTCTTGAAATGTTGGCTGACCAGGGTCAGCTGTGAAAAGTCACTGTTGAAATTTTTGACAATTTTTGTAGCTGCCAGTCATTTAAAATTTTTTTTTTTTTTTCCGAACTGGGAATTGAAGCCAGCAATGTTCTACCACTGAGCCACACCACCAGCACTTTTAATTTTTTATCTTGAGACAGGGTCCACTAAGTTGCTTAGGCTGGCTGAACTTGTGGTCTTCCCACCACATCCTGCCAAATCAGGATTGTAAGTGTGAGCCACAATGCCTGGGACCACTTAATTTTTAAGCTTTATTAAATATAATTTATATATCATTTGACCCCTATCTGTAATATAAGTCACCTGTTTTAAATAGTACAATATCAGTTTTTTTCTTTTGTTTGTTTGTTTTTTTGTTTGATGTTGGGGATTGAACACAAGGCCTTGTGTATGGGAGGCAAGCACTCTACCAGCTGAGCTATATCCCCAGCCCTCCATAATTTCAGTATTTACAGAAAATTTAAATTTTTAGTAAGTTGTACAACCATCTCCATCATCCTGCAGACCCAGTCATCTCTCCTCACTGCTCTCCCCAAAGGCAGAAGAGATGTTGGGTTTGGTGGAATCCTTGCTCTGGTGTGTGTGCCAAAGTCCAGTTGACTACATGTATGTACACGTATGTAAATGGACACAGAACATACACATTCATTTTTTTGGAAATAGATATCAATGGCATCACCTTGGACAGATCATTTGGCATTTTTTCTTCTCAACAGTAGGTTTTTAAGATCTGTCCATATTGATATCTATGTGATCTGATATCAGTATCAATAGATACCTATATCAATATGGATAGATATATACCTATCTAAGTACACATATAGGTGTGTGTGTGTGTGTGTGTGTGTGTGTGTGTGTGTATGTATGTATGTATATAGGTGTATAAATGTATGTATGGATTGATTATAATAGCTGTATAATATCCCATTATATGAATATGCCACATTTGTCCTTTGTCTTCTTGAAGGGACATTAAATTTTCCCCTTACAAAGCTTACTGCAGTAGTCAGCCCTATGTCAAGGGCCCATTTAAGCCACTAGATCTCAGCTGTTCAACCCTAGGACCACTTTACAATTTTGGAGACCCCTAATAGTTTTGTTTATATGTCTATCTACATCAACCATATTAAAAAATAATTTAAAATATTAATTCATATAATGAACAATAACAGATTTATTGCACTAACATAACATTTAAAAAAAAACTACATTTTTCAAAAACTGGCAGGAAGAGTGGCATTTTTAACACAATATTTGCAAGTCTGGATTAGCAGAAGGTAGCTTGATTCTCAACCTGCTTCTGTGTTTCGTGTTGTGCGGTTTTGTTTTGGTTGGAGTGTGTGGATGAACACCAGCCTTACACAGGTATGTAGTTGGTAATTTGTGGCTTTTCCTTGCTGCTATGGCAGAACAAATGGTGACTTATTAAAAATTGTTACAAAATAAAATCTGAAACAAAACCATAGTGAGCAGAGGAAACAGCTCCATTCCATTCCAACCTCAGAACTACCTGTGAGTGGGCCTTTCACCTGGGTGTGATTTAGTGACATTTGCACTGGTTGTTGGAACGCAGTGTTCACCTGTGTTGCAGAATGCTGCAGTCAAAGTGCTCAAGGAAAGTTTCCCAGAATCCAGTTTTCGTCAAATTCTATCTTTGACAACAAATTCTATCTTTGACAACAGCCTGTCTTAAAAGAACAGGCTCAGTTTATTAATTTTCTAGAACAGTCTTGCCAGATCCCAAGTTGGAATAAGCAGTACCCTTTTCTTCAGTTCTACTTATGTCTGTGTTAACTTCTGGGCTCATCATGTTGTAATTAATGGAATTATGTGCATAATTAATGGAATTATGTGTGCGGTTTATCCAGATACAGGCTTGGGTGGTGATTTGGTCTCCAGGGAGCTTGGTCTGCTGCAGAAGGCCTCTGGTGCACTTCCTGTTGCCTCACACAGAACAGCACAGAGGGGCATACATAGGGATTAAGTGGCAGTAGATTTAGTCGTTCTATCATTTCACCACAGATGTCCCTAAGAGGAGCTGGCATTGTTTCTCTGAGTGTGCAGTGTTGAGCAACTCAGTGGCTGGGCTGTGGTTTGGAGTCCTGCCTTGACCACTGGTGATAGTCTGGCACTTTCCCTCCATTGCTTTTGGAACGTCAGTTTAAACGTCAGTATGGTGAAGGCCAGTAATGTCTCAGCAGTGCTGTGATAGTCATTTCCTAAAAGGGTCCTGGAGCCCAGGCTGTGGCCTGTCCTAAGAGCCTTTGGGCAGTAGGATGTAACTGACCCTTTTGTATTATTTGTGGCTACCTACTTTTTTAAAAAAAGTTTTATTATGGAAATTTCAGAAATATATAAAAGTAGACTGGAGTGCTGAGTACTGATGCCATCTCCTAGATTGTCCTCTGGAAGCCTCTCGGGTTTCACCTCTGTCCCCACTCTCTGCCCCTACCCCTGGGTGATTTTTGGCAAATTCTAGAGTGATGGAAGTTTTTCTTCATGTAACACCCCAGCTGTGCCTAGAGAGAGCAGCCCCAGTATGGAAGCCAGGATTGTCCTTACACCTTCCCTGGATTAGCCACCCTGGCACAGATGATGCCTGGTGTCTTTCTCATCCTGGGGGACATGTGAAAGTACAACTGCATGGGGGACCCATCCCTAGGTGGGAGGCAGCAGAGTCCTCCCTCCCTTTGGGGACAGGGTTCGCATTCCCACCATTGTCTAGTGTATAGCTGGAACTGCTCCTTCTAAAAGTAAACTTCAACAAATTCCTCATCTTCCTAAACCTGGAGGTGGGAGTGTGTTGGCATGCCTGTCACCAGCCTTTCCAGATGAGTCACTTCTGTGACTGCTGTGCCCACCAGCACTCTGTGTCTATCATGTTCTTTCCATCCCTTGCTCATGCTAGACTGGAGCTTTGCCAGTTGAATGGGTATCAGACTGTTGACCCAACAGGAGTGCTACTGACTTGCTGCTTAGATCTTATAAAGATGTTATGGTTATTGTACCCTTTTCTTCAGTTTTACTTATGTCTATGTTAACTTCTTGGCTCATCATGCTGTAATTAATGGAATTATGTGCATATTTTAAGCAGGTTATATTATGTTTAAATCATCAACCAAAAAGATGCAAAAATTTTATATAAAAGAACCATCTGTSATAAGTAATGCAAATTTGGGCTGGGGTTGTGGCTCAGAGGGAGAGTGCTTGCCTTGCATGCATGAGGYACTGGGTTCGATCCTCAGCACCACATAAAAATAAAGCAAAGATATTGTGTCCACCTATAACTAAAAAAATTTTTAAAAAAATAAGTAATGCAAATTATCTCTTTGCATTTAGATCATTTTAGGCTTTATATTGGAAGATGTAGTCCATTCTGCTTAAAGTAATGACTTTTATGGAACTCAAACCAGAAGTCCATGGGTTGTTTATGGAGAAAGGACCCTTTCTGCTTTTCAGGCATCTAGATTCTCTTTCCTTACCTAGATCTAGGGTTGAGTGTGTCTGTGCTTGGTTCTCCGGATGCTCTAGAGAGATTGAGACCAGCCAGTTCTCTGTGCCCCCAGCCCTTTATGTTAAAGCCAGTGGCTGCATTAACCTAGTGACAAGATTCTGTGGTTTGAAAACTGAGCCTATGCAGTTCCTTGTTAAAGAGAGGATTCTAGATTGGGTTCTCACAATTTATAGGCTACTGAATTCCATAGAAATAGGATAGGGATCTGGGAAACCTGGTTTTAATCAGGCTGCTGCAGACTTTTTGACCTATACAACAAGAGTTGTATGAGAATAAAGTAAATTAATGGCCAGTTATATTAAAAACGACATCAGATCTGGAACAAAACTTTAATATGGTCATAATTTCTGATATTGGATTTATTACTTCCAGTTCTAGAACTTTATTCTAAAAAAAAGTTAGATACGTTAGAAGACTACCTCCTATACATATCTACACTCTTCACTTCTGTCCTGACTGAATAATGCAAAATTGATAGCAGTCAAAATAAGTTACCCTAAGAGACTGGTTGAATATTCATAGGATGACCTATTATACAGCTGTTAAAAGTCATATTTTTGAAAGAAGATTTGTGATACAGGAAAATTTATCAGTTATAAAAAGTGCTCAATAAACTCTTATTGAGTATAATCCCAGTAAGTTTTTCTTTTTTTTGTCTTCTTTCTTTCTTTCTTTCTTTTTTTTTTTTTTTTGTACTGGGCTTGAATTCATGGGCACTTAGCCACTGAGCCACATCGCCAGCCCTATTTTGTACTTTATTTAGAGACAGGGTCTCACTGAGTTGTTTAGCACCTCGCTGTTGCTGAGGTTAGCCTTGAACTTGAGATCTTTCTATCTCAGCCTCTCCAGCTGCTAGGATTACAGGCGTGCGCCACCATGCCTGGCAAATCTTTCTTTTTTGATGCTGGGGATCATCAGTTAAATTTTTAAAAAGATGAGTGTATATGCACACATGCATTGTGTGTGCATGTGTGTGTACCTGTGTATGGGTGTGTGCATGCACCTAGGGCTTAGGCAGGGTCCAAGCTTGCTGTTCACAGTTGCCTGGGTGCATCTGGAGAGATATGGCATTGTGGAGGTACATTCTCTTTGCAGGCATCCTGGGGAGAACATCCAGGATAGGTTGGCAGACTTGACAGCAGCCCCTCAGGGTTCTGGGGGAAGGTGCATGCCCATTATAGGGTGGTGGACCTTCTGGTTGGCTCCATCAGATGGGCCTGAGGCCTGTGAGTTCAGAAAAGCAGTGGCAGTGGTGTACCTGGTTTGGGGCTTGTCTGATGGCAGGAGACAGACCAGGGGGAAAAGTATTCACTTTTCTCAGTTGCAGGGCTCAGGGTCAGAGAGGGAAGTGGTGTCCTGCAGGGGAAGCTTTACGAAGAGCTTGAGGACACCTGGGGCCCCCACAGGCTCTGGGAATGTGGTAGGATTGTGAGCCTGTATGAGCAGGGGGGAGCATGGTGGAAGGTGACCTTTATATGGTCACTGTTCCTGTGGCCCACCATCTTCCCAGCCTGGCTAACCTCCAGGAAGCCGAGGTGTTTGTGCTGATGTAAGGGGCAGATGCATGTTAGAATGTTGCCATGGTTATTGTTGGAGAGGGCACCTTGTAGAAGCTTTTAAATTTCTTCACACTTCTCTTTATTTTTAAACATTTGAATACATTTTTACAATAAAAGTGGCTGCTTGGGGTTGGGTTCGGTGGTGTTGGCCTGAAATCCCAGTGGCTAGGAAGACTGAGACAGGAAGGTTGTGAGTTCAAAGCCAGCCTCACCAAAAAAATTGAGGTGCTAAGCAACTCAGTGAGACTGTGTCTCTAAATAAAATACAAAATAGGGATGGGGATGTGGCTCAGTGGTTGAGTAACCCTGAGTTCAATCCCCAGTACCAAAAAAAAAAAAAAAAACAAAAAAGGTGGCTGCTTGGTCATATACCATTTAGAAGCTGGAACATAGCAGAGCTGCTCCTCAGGACGTGGGGTCATGTCCTAATTAGACACATCATAGGTGACAATGATTGCCAGTTGAAAATACATCCAGTATGCCTACCCTACTCCATACCATGGTCTAGCTGCCTAAAATGTACTCAGAATAGTTGCCTTAGCCTACACCTGGGCAAAACCATCCAACACAACCCCATTTTATGATGAATATCAGAAAACACGAGCACTAAGAGTCTCACGTAACTTTATGGATACTGTACTGTAAGTCAAAACTAGAATGAATGGATATGCATTTGTACCTTCGTGAAATTGAAAAACTCCTAAATCCAGCTATGGTAAGTGGGGGACTTCTGTAGTTGATTTTTGATAGCACTTGTTTGGCTGGGAGCAGTAGCCTGCTCAGGATGCATATAAGACAGGTGTGTTATTTATTATTATTATTATTATTTTTTTTTGTACTGGGGATCGAACTCAGGGGCACCTGACCACTGAGCCACATCCCCTGCCCTATTTTGTATTTTATTTAGAGACAAGGTCTCACTGAGTTGCTTAATGCCTCACTTTTACTGAGGCTGGCTTTGAATTTGCCATCCTCCTGCTTCAGCCTCCCAAGCAGCTGGGATTACAGGCATTTGCCACTGCGCCCGGCAAGTTGTGTTATTTATTCTACAATAATATTCTTAGCTACCAGATGTCCAGGTGGTCATGTAGGACCCCAAGGCCAACTGGAAGTTAGAGTCCAGCTTGTATTCACTGTGGCAGCCAGGCAGGAAGGCAYACCCTGGTGCTGGCTGCCTAGGGTTCTCTGTCCCCATGGAGCAGCACCAGGGAGGGCCACATACCATAGAGATGGGAGCATTTACTCACTGCAGGGACACCTCTTGCCAACAGTATTTTGCCTCCCTGAGTACAGAGCAAGGCCTGAGAGAGGAAACAGCCTGGGTCAGAGGAAGAAAACCCTGCAGCCCAGGGCCCACCATGTGGCAACTGGGCTAGGGATGCAGGTGTGTGGGGGCCTGGTGCCAACGGTAGCTTACTGTGGCATGCCAGGCTGGGTGTGGGAACTGCTCTGCCCCAGAGCCCACCAGCAGCAAGGCTCACAGAATCCAGGGTTGGGCCTGGAGTAGATTCTCTGCATAGATTAGTTTGGCTAAAGCGTTGAACCCCCAGGAAGGAGCACTGCATTGCCGCCCATCCCCTGTAGATGCAGCATCCTGGCTCCGGTGCCGCTCTGCGGCCCAGCGTCCCCAGGTTGCGACTTCTGGGGCTGACTGTGTTTCTCCCGCCAGCCACCCGTGGGACACGGTGATCAAGGCAGCCATGCGGAAGTACCCGAACCCGATGAACCCGTGCGTGGTGGGCGTGGACGTGCTGGAGCGCCGAGTGGATGGCCATGGGCGGCTGCACAGCCTGCGCCTGCTCAGCACCGAGTGGGGGCTGCCCAGCCTCGTGCGCGCGGTGAGCGCCCGCCCGGCCACCGCATCTTGAGGCCACCTCGTTCTGGCTGCGGGGCCCCTGCACCCTTCTCTGCGCCACCCTGCCTGCCCCATTGGGCGCAATAGCTTCATCTGCTTCTTCTGCTGGGCTGCCTGCCGAGATGCCGAGGTGCACACGCAGCTCAGGCTGTCGGCTCTCAGTCCTGCAGGSCAGAGCCCCAAGTCAAGGTGTCCTCAGGCGGGCTTCCTCCAGGGCCTCTGCGCCCCCTACCTACATGTTGACTGTTTCCTGGGAAGGACACCACTCATCCTGGAATAGCGCCCACCCATAGGACCCCATTTTTACTTAATGAGGTCTAGCAACCCGTTCTACTCACAATCTGAGGTCCTGTGGGTTGAGGCTTCAAAATATGGATTTAGAGGGGACACAATTCGGCAGATAACTGGAAGAGTTGCTCTGGAGGTCACTAAATGAGTAAATCTGGCCTCTTGTTGCTACTGGCTCTCTCAGAGACTCTTCCATGAGGGTTTGTACACCACATTGGATCTGACATCCCTCGTGCCTGACCCTCCCACAGAATTCATCCCAGAGGCCTTCCCAGCAGAGGGGCCTTCTGGGCCACTTTGGTCTCCATATCTCACCCTACTTTTTTGTCAAAGCATTAGTTACTGTCATGCACTCAAGCTCTGAACTCATTTAGTTTTTTCAACATGTGTCACYTATGGGAATGGAAGTGTCCTGAAGACTAGATTTTGTCTGTTGTGTCCATTTCCCAGTCACATCATTGTCCAGTAAATAGGTGAATTAATTAGCAAACGGAATTCTAGCATGTTACTATACTAGTTTCATTTTGTTTTTTAGATTTTGGGGACCAGTAGGACTTTGACATACATCAAAGAGCATTCTGTTGTGGATCCAGTGGAAAAGAAAATGGAACTTTGTTCCAGCAATGTAAGCAATGGCCTAGGAGAGCGGTGCTTAGCCGTGTCCTGGTGATGGTGCGTAGCGCCTTCATTTAATCTTACTTCCAGCTTGGCTCTGGCCTCAGTGAGCACTGAATTTCATAGGAAGTTCAAATTTATTTGAGTTTTTAAATTTGCTTTTTATTCTAATATAATAAAGACAGGTGTGGTGGCATATACCTGTAATCTCAGCTGCTTGGGAGGCTGAGGCAGGAGGATTGCAAGTTTGAGACCTGTATCAGCAACTTAGGGAGTCCTTCAGCAACCTAGTGAGACCTTGTCTCAAAATAAAAAATAAAGCACTGGAAGTGTGGTTCAATGGTAAAGTGCACTGGGCTCAATTCTCAGTTAAAAAAAAAATTAAAAGACAAAAACAAATATAATAAGCATGTAGAAAAATGCACATTTCCAATTAAGGGAACCAAGTCTGTGAGCTGTTTGTTGCTCYATGGTGTGATTATGGAAGACGACAGTGGACTGTATATTTCAGAAAAGCCAGAAGAAAGACTGTGTGCTGTAAACACAAAGGGTAACACCACTGGAGGAGACACTGTGCCAACCTGATGTAGCCCTCTCACAGTGTGTGCATGTGTTGTATATGACATGCCAGCCCATGAAGATGCACAGTATTCATGTGTCACTTAAGAGGGATAAGACAAACAAGGCCCATGTTGATGACTGTCACCACATGAACACACTGGCTGGCAGATGAGGTGACAGGACACAACTAGGGCAACAAAGAGAGACCTGGTCTCAAACAACAAACAACAAACACTGTCTTGATTCCTAGAAGTAGATGTCACTTTTAGTGGTTTTTCAATTATTTTTATTTATGTGGTACTGGGCTTGAACCCAGGGGTGCTCTACCACCAAGCTACATCCTCGTCCTTTTTAATTTTTATGAGAAAGGGTCTTACTCAGTGGCCTGGGTAGCTTTGAGCTTGTGATCTTCCTGCCTCTGCCTCCAGGTCACTGGGAGTACAGATGTGTGTCACCGAGCCTATTTTGTTTTATGTTTTTACAGTGCTGGGGATTGAACCCAGGGCCTTGTGCATGCCAGGCAAGAACTCTGCCACTGTGCCACACCTTCAGCCCTACTGGTCATGCTGAAAGCCATGTTCTCTCTTCACTCCTCTTTTACTACTTTTAATTAAAATTGTGTAGATGGTATTGAGCTGATGCAGTTTCAAAGAGCATCTTGGGGAAAATGCACAGGATGGGAAAATGCACAGGATAGGAAAATGGCTCATTTTACAAATATCACTTATTCTTAGTAACCACAGAAATGAGCCATTCTGGGAAAAATCCCATCCCAGTACTCCTCTGTGGAGCTTTACTTCTCCATCATCCCCCTCTTCTGGTTTGCCTGCTTTGTCCCTTGGGAATCACTCATTGATTGGTTCCATTAACCACATCAGGAGTCTGCTGTCTGCCAGGCATCATGCTAGGGGCAGGGAATGCAAGACATATACTCCTGCCCTCGCTGGTATAACACCCCATGTGYAGCGTGACCAACTGTGCAGGCGTGTAAACAGTAAGGGCAAAAGCCCCTGATGGGGCCATGAGGGAACCTTGTAGGGGAGCTAAGGGGAGGCTGGGGCTTGAAGACTGCAGGAGTTTCCCAGACAGACTAGCAGGTGTACCCTAGTATCAGAACACAGATGGGCTGGGCAGGCAGAGGCTGGCTAGCTGTGGAGGAATAGGGAAAGTACAGGATTTTAGTGAAATTATTGCATGAGCAGAAAATAAGTGTTTATCACTGCTGAAAGGTTATCTTGCTTTTGACAACTTTTTTTTCTTTTTTAAATGGTCTTGCTGGGCACAGTGGTACATTCATGAAATCCTAGCTTCTTCAGAGTAGGAGGATTAAGAATTGCTAGAGGCCAGGCGATGGAGACCAACCCAGGCAACAAAGAGAGACCTGGTCTCAAACAACAAACAAAGGTTTTGTGTTGGAACTAGCTCTTGGAGAAGAGGGTTCTATACTAGGTTGCTGAAGGACTCCCTAAGTTGCCTCTCCTGCATAAAAATTCCAGCACTTCCTGGTTCTGGGTGGGAGCCAACTGGCCACATGTGGCTATTTGAACAAATTAATTGGAATGAATGAAATTAAATCCCATACTTCAGTCAAACTAGCCACATTCTAGGTGTTCATTCACTTCATGTGTCTGCAGCCACCACGTCAGGGAGTACTGTCAGCTCCTGTTCACAGTGCTGTGCTGGAGCACCAGTTCTCCAGTAGGCCTCAGCAGAAAACCTAGCTGAATGAGGCACTTGGCTGTTTACAGGAAGTGATGTTGAGGAGACAAGGCCTCCACAGTCTTTATGTGGCTACTGGGGTCTGTCCCATGTAGTCCCAGGAGCCAGGGCCTCAAGACCTGGTTCTGGTGCAAGGGGGCAGAGAGCTTGCTATTGTTCACATGGGCACTGTCCTTTCCTGTAACTGCTGGTGCATCTGATAGCTTGGAAGTACCCTGGAGGCCAGAGCACTGGCACAGAAGAGATGCCAGCTGCCCACAGGAAGAGCTGAAATATGGCGTCCCTAGAACATGATGTGGTTGGGCCTTTGGTGCCTATGTGTTTGCTTTGGCTCTGCTCAGTGTTAATTTTGGGGTGGAAGAATATGGGCAGATGGTTTGGGAAGAAGTACAAGAGAAATAGAACTTAAAGCTATTGTTTTTTTTTTCTTTTTGAAGATCACACTCACAAATTTGGTGTCAGTGAATGAGAGGTTGGTGTACACACCTCACCCGGAGAACCCTGGAAAGTGAGCCTTCTCATCCTGGGATTTGCACGTAGAATAGCAGTGGTGGGGGAGCTCCCTTTTCCACTTCTTCACCTATTTTCTCCCGCAGGACTGTGCTCACACAGGAAGCCATCATCACCGTGAAGGGGATTAACCTTGGCAGCTATCTGGAAAGTCTCATGGCAAACACGATATCATCCAATGCCAAGAAGGTTTGTACCAGTGCGGGGTCCTGTTTGTGGTCAATATTAAGTGCCAAGTGAAGCAGGAGACATTCTTAGTGCTATAAGTCCTCCTAGGTGCTGGGGCTCTCCATCAGTAGCTGAGCTTATAATTCCACAGCATTTCCCACAGTTACATTCAAAACCAGTGGCATTGGAAGGCTGGACAGGGCCTGAAGGGCAAAATGTCTATGGCCAGGGGAGCCATAGGGCTACTCTCCTTAGTAGGGAAAGTAAGGGGCAGACCTGGAGTATAAACCCAGCCAGGGCAGCTACCCCTTCAAGAGAGCCCAAATTCTGGAGGTTCTGCAAAAGCAAACAAGCCCACCACATGACACTAGGAAATGGTGTGCTCTGACGCTGTCAGGCAGCATGTTCTGTACAACAGGCACCAGGTGCTGTGCTTGACTGCCCCAAGCTGTGGTGCCCACCAGCAGGATTTGGGAGTGAGCTCTGTGGAGGTCTCCATCTTTGCCCAGGGGCTGGGGTAGTGGCAGAGATCAACCTGGGAGTCCAGATGTCCTTCCCCTCCATCAGATTGGTGGAATGAGCTTGGAAGTTGGGAAGGGAGAAGTTCCTCAAGTTAAAGGTGGTTCTTGCMAGAGCAGGGCCTTTGCTTTCCACCTTGGCTCACTTCACGGCTCATGTCTTCCCCTGGTCCATTCCTCCCACCCTGGATTCTCCATTTTCATTTTCTGAATCATTTGGGCTGTCCTTCCTTTCCTTCTGTTACAGAGCTGGGGCCTTCTGAGAAACTGAGGCAGTATGAAGACCCCCTGCCCCCAAGCCCTGATTCTTGCAATCAAGTYAGAAAGATTTTAGGCATGTCACTTAGAGTGACAGAAATGAGTTTATTGAAGGAATAGGAAAAGGGAAAGGGAACACTTTCAAGGGAGAGAGTGGGTCCTTGGAGAGGAGAGGGGCAACATGCCTCTCCTGCATTCATTTTATTGGGGATCCCAGAGAAGTTTCCAATGTTCCACCCAGGTCCACCTCTTGACTTTTGAATGACAGCAGGGTAACATCAGACTTCCAAGTATTCACTGCCATGGCAATTCTAGGTCACCTTGGCCCATGCYGATTGGTTATAACTGGATCCTTAACTATACATTCTTATAGATTTTATTGTTAGGAGGAATTATCCTTATATCCTGGAGTTTCAGGATCTGGTTATTACCAATAATAATGTCTGGGTGCCTCTGATGAACATTATTTTGGGCTTGGATTTCTTATGCAGATAATAAGTAGTTTCCTAAGGAATGTGACATAGTCTGTCCTCTTAGACCAGCAAGGATGCATGTAAATTGCTTCTTGGAAAAGAAAGCATGTGGGGGTCAGTGCAGTGCACCCATTTTATAGAATTGTTCTCTTGACCTCATGTTCCCTCCATCCTCACCTGTCTGTCCTCTGACATTTCCATGCTTAAGTCACCAATTGGTGAAACCACATTTGGCCTGCATTTTAACTAGTTGCAAATAGAAGAGCCTGCCTACCCTGTTATTATTTTTTAAAAGAAAAATTAGATTTGAGGCAGGCTCTGCTGTACCCACCTGTAGACCCAGGAACTCAGGAGGCTGAGGCAGGAGGATGTCAAGTTGGAGGCCACCTGGGCAACTTTGTAAGACCCTGTCTAAAACAATAAGAGGGGCTGGGGCTGTACTCAGTATAAGAGACCCTGGGTTCAGTCACCAATACCACCCCCATCAAAAAAAGAAAAGTCCAGATTTGAGAACTGTAGGCAGTTACTTTGCTCTACTCAGGGGAGGTGGGGTAAGAAACGGGTGGAGTTCTCATGGAGGATATGCCCCTCAACTTCTTGYCCTCAGGTGCTTGGCTTCAGAAGTCGACTGGAACAAAATATTCCAGGAGGGTGGGGACAGGGGATGCCCAGTGATGTAAACCCCTCTCAGAGCTTCGTGGAGAGCAAGCAGGGTGAAGGCAGAGGAGCCACACTGGCTTTCTTTTACTTCACTTCCTAAGAGGTGGAATGTGAAAGGCTTAAGCAGTCACTGCCTGTACCTAGGAGGAAAGGAATCATCTTCTCTGCTGGAACTGCCTTTTGCCACCCAGGAGGCAGATGGGCTAGTCTTTCCATATGCCTAGGAACAGCTGGTAGCCTTGTGTAGATGGGGTGGGGGTGGGGTACAGGTAGGCCTGTGGCCGGGGTCCCCCTGGCCTCTAGGCAGCAGGCTCAAGGATGGGACTTGGGACATCAGGGTTGCATTCACAAACCTCTGGGGGAATGAGGACCTTCTGTGTTATACTAAGGGGGTGCCAAGGCTGGGAAAGCTGGAGYGAGGGTGTCAATTTACTAAGATGGTAGAGAAAGCATTCCGGCTGATTTTGAGCTTGAGGGCGATGCTGGACAGGTCGCTGCTGTGTCTTCACCACAGTGTCGCCCCTCTCCTGCCGCCCGCGCAGGCCCGCAGCGGAACTCACAGTGGACCTTGTTTTGTGTTGCTGCAGGGGTGGGCTGCTATTGAGTGGATAATCGAACATTCTGAAAGCGCTGTGAGCTAACAGGCGTGGACCTGCACCTCGGGATGCACGGTGGTCACTGCAGTGCTCGTGATCCTGGTACAGACGTTTGGCGTTTCGTTAACCGCGTGCATGGGGCGTGTGCCAGAGGATGCTCAGGAGCCCGCTGCGCTCCCCTCCGGGCCTGTGCTTCTCAGTGTCCGCCCCAGGTCGAACCTCCAACCCCCCTGATTTGCACTTGCTTGCTTCATGCAGGATGTGTTTTCCGGGGACACTTCAGCTGCTGTCCTCTGGTGCCTGCAGGTTCCTCCTGCAATGTGTGGCTAGGGAAGAACCCTCCTTGGGTAGGTCAAGATGGGCTTAAAGGCTCTTCTGAGGCGAAGAGATTTCATTTGGGGTAAAATTTGTTCTCTTTTTTTTTTTTTTGGAGCTGGGGATGGATCCTAGGGTCTCACACTTCTACTTCTGAGCTCCATCCCCACCCCACACATAGTCTGTCACCTGCCAGAGCCAGTGCTCAGCCCCTGCCTGCTTCTCTTCAGTAGCAGAACCATCCCTGGCATGTCTGAGAGTGTCACAAGCATTGCTTGATTTGTGCCCGTGAAATTGATACTGGGTGCCCAGCACCCTTGGCCACCTCTCACTTGGGAAAGGAGACCAGAGCCCTGCCTCCCTTTGTCCAGGGACTCCTCATGCTCCTGGTCCCCGTCAGGCTGCTCTGGGCCCAGCTCCCCACTGTCTGTCCATCTGTTTGTCCCCAGCCTGCCTGCTCTTGTTTGGCCGTCCTTCAGCCAATAAGCTGCCTGGTCCTGGTGTCTTTCAGAACTTGTTGCTGATTTTGCCTCAGTCACTGAAGCTGCAGTTTGCCAGTGACCTTGACCTTGAATCCAAGGCTGCTACAGTCTTTCCTCTTCCCTGGTGGCACTGAGCTGAGTACCCTTAGGGAGGTTACCAGGCTGGTGTTGCAGTGTGTGTGTGTGTGTGTGTGTGTGTGTGTGTGTGTGTGTGTGTGTGTGTGTGTGTGTGTGTGTGTGTGAGAGAGAGAGAGAGAGAGAGAGAGAGAGAGAGCATTGATGTGAATCATGGCTCCTCAGGTTCTGTTTCCTCCAAAGCCAGAGCTAACCTGCCTCCATCTTCAACCAGATACCTGACTCAAAAACTCCAAGAAGACAGGAAGGAAGAGAAAGAAGATGGAGAAAGGCGAGCTAGACGTGGCTCTGGCCTGTCTGGAGGGGAACCTGCTGGCACRGAAGCCCTGGTGACCTTGGAGCAGCCCTCAGCGTGCAGGCTGCGGTCATGGGCATGCGGAGGCTGCAGGAGTGCTAGAACCCAGCGCCAGTCCACGCCATGTCGCCACTGTGCCCTGGGCCTGYTCTGGGCCTTTGCTGCCTCTCCCTGGCATGGCCCCCAGCGCTTTTCTGCCAGTGCTGGGACCTTGCTGYGAGAGCTCCTTCTTATGTCCCCACTGAGCCCTGTCCCTCTGCAGAGCTGACACTGTCCCTGCCCTCCACCTGAATGTGCCCTCCATGTTTCATAGATACAGTCTCTGATCCAGAAGCTTCCTTCTGCCCCAGGTTCCCTCTGTACTCCTTGGCAGGGAGCTCTGCTCAGATGTCGCTTCACACTGATGGGAGCTGAGCCCTGGGAGCCACTGGACTTGCTGTGGGGTCCTGTGGCCTGGTGGGTTTGTGGTCAATTACCAAATGTCCTTTCTCTGGAGTGGTTTGGCTTCTGACGAGACTCCCCAGCTCCTGGGGAGGGGAGGAACACAGTGGCCTCCCACTTCCTATAGGCTGGGCAGCAATTCCTCSAGCCTGGCACTGCCCTCTTGAGATACATGGTGGCTTTGGGCCCTGCATGAGCTGGACTGTCCCTGCCTACATCAGCAGCCCCAGCTCTGCTCTCCCACTATAACTTATGGCCTCAGGGTGCCAACACCTCCAAGTYTTTGAAGTTTGTTTTCCTGGTTTTCTCCTCATAGTTTCATGGACATTTCAGGGATCAGGGCAAAAGGCTTTTTCTCAATGTTTTGAAATCAAAGTTTAAAACAATAATAGTTAAAAAAAAAAGTCAAAGCAGCCCATATTTAATTGGTTAGAAGAAAAGCACAGGACTGTGTTGAACAGAGTCCTCAGCTCTCCCTCTGCAGGTGAACCCCCCCACCCTGTTCTCACAGACCCTTCCAGAAATTCTCTGTGCCTGTGAAAGGTCACATGTGGGGTTTGATCTTTCCCTTCTTTCATTAAACTTAGATAGGATCGTGCTGTGTGTACTGTTTTGTAACTGTCTTTTTTTCCTACCTTTTTTTTGGGGGGGGGGTTAGGGGGTTGAACTCGGGGCACTCAACTACAGAGCCACATCCCCAGCCCTATTTTGTATTTTATTTAGAGGTCTCACTGAGTTGTTCAGCGCCTTGCTTTTTGCTGAGGCTGGCTTTGAGCTCCCAATCCTCCTGTCTTGGCCTCCTGAGCTGTCGGGATTACAGGTGTGCGCCACTATGCCTGGCTTTTTTTCTCCTTTTTAAACATTATCTTGAAGGTCCTTTGGAGGATTCCCCCTGGAGGATTCGCTGCATGCACCCAGCCCCTCATCCCTGGGGCCCCGAGAGCCACGTTCACTGGCTCTGCTGTGCCCAGGCCACTGGTGGGTGAGGAGGGACCATCYCTGGGTCACTGTACCCCACTCTTTCCAGTGCAGCCTCTTGTTCCCAGGTTTCAGGATGACTCTGTCACTTCACAGGGTCATTGTCTAAGCGTGTCAYCTTGGGAGTTGTGTTCTGGAGGGAAGCATGTGAGGCTGTGATTTGGAAAGCATGTGCTGAAGACAGCTTCTCTGATCTGTGCAGCTGTGAGGCCGCAGAGGTCCCGGGTGTTTTTGGAGTAAGATGGCATTTTTAGTGTGAGGGCTGTTATAAATGTCAGTCAACTGATTCTGCCCAACTTCTGGCAGCTTGAGGGAGGTAAAAACAAGCCTCTGCATGCACTAAATTCTCAGTCTTCCATGCTTTCAGTTTTTGTTGTTGTTTTTTTCCCCAAATTTCAGTTTGGTTTACTAGTGTCAAGTAGGTTTACAAGTACTGCACTCATCATTCAGCTCACAGAAGGCCAACATTAAGGGAGATATTTTTCTCCAAAAGAGATAAGTTTTCAGAATCTTTAATATGTTAAAATTACACAGGCAAAGATAAAACCTCATGTCCCATTCCATACCCCTTCCTGCTTCCTGCTGTTGTACAGCTTGCTGCAAATGGGAATTTTAGTTGTTTGGATAATGGTTTAAAAGTCATCCCTTGCTCATTAAATTACTTTTGAGTAAAACTGGATGGGACTTTTCTTTATGCTTTCTTCCTTACCCCAAACACATAGAAAACACAGTGCTCATACTACAAGATCAAATGTAATCATAAACCTTGGAGGTGAAATTCAAATACAAATTCCCTCCCTTGGGAATGTGGACACCAGACCAAGGAGATCAATCTGGAGGACCCCAGTGGGGCACTGTGTAGCAGGTTGGGCTGGGAATATGGGGCTGCCCTAAGCACATCTGTAGGGAGGGTGTTTTTAATTTTTGTAACTTTTTTTTTCTGGTACTGGGGATTGACCCCAGGGGCACTTTATGGCACTACAACTCCAGCCCTTTTATTTATTTATTTATTTATTTATTTATTTATTTAATTTTGAGACAGGGGCAGGCTAAGTTGCTGAGGCTGATGTCAGACTTGTGAACCTCCTGCCTCAGCCTCCACATTGCTGAGATTATAGGTGTGCACCACCACAACCTGGCTTACTTTTTGTAACTTAGTCACTAATAAGCGGCACCTGTCAGCTGTAGAACCTTCTAGTGAAGTTACAGGTGCTCATGGGGATGGATGAGCTTTGGAGCCTCTACTTCTCAGGTCTAACCATGCTGTGTCCAGCGGTCYCAGGACTGCCCAGCAGGGCAGGCTGGCACTCTGTGGCCCCGGGTGACTTCAGTACCACCTGTGAGCCGAGAATGGCCCAGGTGTTTTTAAAGGCTGGTTAATGAAAACCCTCAGCAGGAGGGTGAGGAGACCTGGGAGGCCCACGCGGCCCTTTGTGGAAAACACTGCCTGCACCTCCCCAGGACCCCACTCGACCCTGGTCGACATTGATTGAGCCAAACTTTCCTCCTTCTGCCAGAACCTCRCTCTCGCCTTCGGGATCATGCTGCCTCCGTTTCCCAGACACACAGCCTGTGTGACTTGGGACCTCCTTCTCAGCTTCTCCAAATGGCTCAGGTAGGCCTCTCCCCATGTCACTGTTGGGCTCYGTGCTGGGTGCTCCTCCCCAGGCCTCGCCCCAGGGGCTTCTCTGGCCCGTGCAGAGGCAGGGAGGGCTGGCCTGCGTGACCTGATAATGTGGTCACGATGGTGTGACTCCAGAAGCCGGTCACAAGAGACACTGCGCCCTGCTCCCTGTCTCTCGGGGCCTGCGGGGGCCTCAGGGTACCGGCCTATGAGCAGCCACCTCTGGAGGCAGATCCACTAGCCCAGAGCAGCCTTGGGATGACAGGAGCCTCCGCAGACTTGGCTGGGAGCCCGAGGGGGATCCCTGCTAAAGCTGCTCCTGAATTTGTGACCCAGGGGGAATTGTGAGATAGTAAATGCTTGTTGTTGAAGCTGGAGTTTGCGGCAACAGTAACAGATAACTCATATGTCACCTCATTTCCATCGTCTCTTTCACACTTTCCCTCTTGCTGTCAAATCCTTCCCAATGAGTCCTGGGCTAATTGGCTGTCAAGCTAGGAGGTTTCTTGTTCCATTTTGAAAATGTCAAAACCARGGCTRAGGCTCTGGCACAGATGGCCCAGGTGGTGCCACRTGGCCTAGAAGTCTGGGCTCTCTCCCCTCTTTGAACYGCCTTAAAATCTCCTGTCCTGGAGCTGGCCTTGCCTGAGTGCAGCTCATGGTCCAGGGTAGTCAACCTTGGAGATGTACATGGCTTCCCCCGAGACCTCCTTTTCACCTGTTCTCATGTATATTTGATTGGTTTGTACTGAGATTTCCTCCAGAGCGAGATCAGGTGTTCTGCTTGGCGTGCACAGTCTGGGTGTTCGCTAAGGCTCTTGGGGACTGATGGCCAGTCGCTGTTAAGAGGAGCAGCTGGAGAGGCAGCTTCTGGAGACCCATGGTCTGTTTCTAACCACTGGAAACCTCACTGTTCCCCCTTCTTCATCTGTAAAGAGGAGGCTAGTGTCTGAGTGCTAAAGGAGATGCTGTGGACTGAGGGCATAGCTCACTGGTGGAATAGAATGTTACCTTGTTACTAGTTGGGTTGGGGGTTGCACCCAGGGCCTTGTGCATGGTGGTATGTGCTCTACCACTGAACTATACCCACAACTCAGCAATTCTCAAAAATTGGTGAGGCATGGTGGTGCATGCCAACTTAGAGTCCAGCTACTGGGGAGGCTGAGGCAGGAGGATCGCAGGAACCCAGGAGATCAAGGTCAACCTGGGCAACACAGCAAGACCCCTGCCACAAAAGCAAATGTTGAAAAAAACCTATATTAACCATAACAAACTAAGTGGGGAATATCTTGATATCCTAAAGCTTACTTTCTTATTGGTAAATAATATAACAAATTTGGAATAGTTCAGTTAAGTTGGCCCAACTGGAATAAAATTGTTAACGAAACTTTTATGATTCCTACTAAGAGTTAACCACACTGTAAGAGTCAGGCAGTGAAGAGTATGGGCCCAGTAAACCTGGCGCATTTACGCAGCCGCCTCCTGACAGGCACTGGGCCCTGTGCATCTGCACATCTCTTTGTTAATGGAAGGAGACAGGGGTGCAGCCCCCACCCAGGGCTCTCAAGCTGGAACAGCCTCTGGGAGAGTGAGGCAGGGAAGCCAGGTGGCGAGTCGGGGTCCTGAGAGAAAACTCCGTGTTTCTGAGTAGTGCTTGAGCTGCTTCTGGCTCTTCCCTTAGCCGCTCAGGGCTGCAGTGACTCGGTGCAGAACTGTCCTTAACCGCTGTACCCCCTGGGCCGGGGGCTGTCAGCACACTGCCAGGTGCTCTGACATCCTCGTGGATCCATCTTTGTGTTTCTCACTTATTCCCATCTTGAACATGCTCTTAACTCACTCTGCACTTACTGAGCACCTGCTTCATGCCAGCCATTTCTTTCAGAAACTGGGATACATAGGACAGGGAAGAAATGTGGCCGAGATTCTTGTTTTCATGGAACAATGAAGTGGGATATGGGGTGCTAAGAGCCGAGGGGGAAACACACAGGCCCACGTACAGCGGGGAGAGAATGTCACGAGCAAGTCAAGGATGGGAGCAAAGTACGTGAGGGTGGAACTTGCAAGTGTTTGACCTCTTGGAAGATGGCACTGTGCAGGGAAGAAGGTGCACCTTGTCCATTCAGCACTGAGAGCGCCCATCAGCAGAGGCTGAGGACCATTCCTGCGGGGAATATCTTCATATCCTAAAGCTTACTTTCCTATTGGTAAATAATATAACAAATTTGGAATAGTTCAGTTAAGTTGGCCCAACTGGAATAAAATCATTAATGAAACTTTTATGATTCCTACTAAGAGTGCAGGAAGGAGGCCACATCAGCTCTGA